AGTAAATAGCATAGTTCATTCATCTGTTCATCTCTCGGTCAGTCCATCCATTCATTCATTCATCCATCCATCCAGACGCCCAAGCCAGAAATCTGGGTGACATCATGGTACCTCTCTGCCCTTCCTTGTATGACTCAAGATAGTCTAGACCACACAGCAGTGACAAATCAACTGTATACTCTCAGAGATGTAGCACAGTGACATTTCTTGCTGGCCTATGTCACAGGCCAGTGGGGTCAGCAGAGATGGGGGCAGAGTCCCACTTCACACAGTTTATTCAGGTACCTCCCAAACGGGAACACTGCCACCCCCATGTGAACTCTGCATGTGACATGCCAGGGTCCAACAGAGAGGGAAGAGAGGTAAAGGCTCTGGAATCCTGTGAGGGGCGTTTTAGAGACTAGTCCATCGTTTCTATCCTCTTGCTGTGGCTAAAAACTCAGGATGTGATGACAAGTCACGTGAGATAGGTGAGCACTAACCACCTCTAGCACTCTGGCCAGCCATGTCCAGCTGGTCTGCCTCTAAGCCCTGTCATCCCTGTCTCCACCTTGTCCTATACAGGACTCTTCTCTGCGGCCATTGCTCCCTGTCAGACTCCTTCATCCCTCCCCAGGGTGTCAGGGGTGCCCTGACAAGTCTTTCATGTCTGCTTTCAGCTCTTGAAATATATTGTCTTCACACACCACGGAATGAGATCCAAAGCCCTTTGGTAGGCAGAATAAGGACCCTTGCCACTGTCCAGAGATAGAAGACACATCCTGTTCCCTGGAACTGTGTGAATGTGACCTTACATGGCAGAGGGATGCAGGTTTGCGTAGGCAGTTATGTTGAGGGTCTCGAGATGGGGAGATCCTCCCAGGTTACTTGAGCAGACACAGTGTAAGCACGAAAGTCCTTATAAGTGAAAGAAGAGGGGAGAGTCAAAAAGGGAGAGCTGAGAAGGCTCAGCTTCTGACTTTGAAGACAGGGGAAGGGGACCATAGGCCAAGAAGGGCAGGTGGCCTCTAGAATCTGGAAAAGAAAGGAGACAGGACTCTTTTAGGACCTCTAAAAGCGCAGCCCTGCTAACACCTTGACTTCAGCACAGCGAGACCCATTTCAGACCTCTTACCCCCAGAACTAATAATTTGTGCCATTTGAAGACAGTAAGTTGCCTTACAAACTTTTAGCAGTAACAGGAAACTAAGACACCACCATCTGGCGGCATCTGAGCATTTAGCATAACATCCCAAATCATTAGCAGGATCTGGCAGACTGTAAGTTCTGTGAAGCAGAGACAGGGTCCTTTCTCTTCACTCCTGTAGCATTCTGCAGGGTCTGACTCGTATTTCTTGAGTATGGATCATAAGGGGGAGGGGGAGGGGAAGAAGACAGGGAAAAGAGAAAAAAAAGAATAAAAGGAGGAGGGAGAGGAGAAAGGAGAAAAGGCATCCTTGAGCTTCCAATCTCACCAAAACTAAGGTGTGTTGAGACTGGAGTGTGAAATGAATGGGAATGTGGAAACAGGTGGCATTTTACCTGAGTGGCAGGAAAGTATCTTGCTGTCCTTAGCTAGAGAAACCTAAGGCCCTCTCAAGAGCCCCTCCTGCTCTCCTCGGCTCCAAGGCTGTGAGCTCCCGTGCTCAAGGATGTCCACTAAACTGACACTGGGATCAGGACATGGGGTGACTCATTGGTGTCTACTCCGATGCCACAGGAGTTGCCCTTAGGACTCTGGAGGGGACCCAGGATGGGGACTGAAGAAGACACCAGGAGGACTTTGAGAGTTGTGCTAAAGGGTCCTTAGCCTTTCCAGGTCATGGGGTGGGGTGGGGTTGGGTGCCGTGTCCAGTGCTCCTTGGAGGGCAGCTCCTGCTTGCCCCGGCCATCTCCAAGGCACCAGCAAGTCCCTGGGGGAATCTCTGTTCCAAATTTGAGCTCTGGTCACTCAGAGTTGGACGTCCCAAGAGACACAAGGCCCTTGATGGGCACCTCAGGAATGAGCCCTGGCAGAGGAGGCCAGAACACAAGTCTGGGGCTTCCAGTGCAGATGCCGAGGAAAGACCCTACCCGCTGTGAGCTTTGTAGCTTTGTGTGTTTCCTCCAGCCCCGTATCCTGGTGCCTAGAGGGTCCCTGGCACATGGCAGACACTCTAAGTGGTCATGAGGAGAATGGACCCCTTTCCCTGCCACCACCTCTTTACCCTCCATCCCAGGATCCCCTGTCACCCCTCGTGCCACCTACTTGGCTCCTGCATCCCCTCTGCCTCTCAGCCCTCACACATCTCTGCTTGCTGTCTTGAAGTCACGTCCCCTGCCCTGCTGGCAGCAGCAGCTGGCTATGCTAGGGCCTAATGCTCCGCATAACAGGAACATCTGTTGGCTGGGGTCCCTGGAGTGTGGGCCAGACATGGTCACGCTCCATGGCTGCTTCACGGTCAACACAAACTGTGGCGGCCAGAGATGTGCTGTTGGGTCTCTTTCAAGGACATCATGTCACAGCCAACCACATGCTGGCTAGATGTCTTGCTGTAGTGGATAGACAGGTATCCCTGACAGTGGCCTATTGCTGGGACTCAGGGCTGGCGCCCCTCATATGATCCTCAGTGTCCTTGACCTCTTGGTGTGCTGACTCTGAGTATTGCAAAGTACTGCATTATTCCCAGCTCCCAAATTCTGACATTCCAAGAGCAGAATGCTATAGGTCAGGGTGTGGATTCTAAAATGGCAGGGTCTACATTCTGGGAGAAGAGGTCTTCTACCTCCAGAAGCCATAGATATCTCTCCTGGTCCTAACAGCACCCAATAGTGTGGACCCTGACAGAGACCATGGCCTCATGCTCCAAGCCCTCTCCCCTGCCTGGCATCTGTCCAGGGACACCTGACTAAAACAGTGAAATTGATGCTAATGACAACAGTGTGTCTGCATAGAGGGAGCCTGGTGCTATTTGGAGAACTTTCCATGTAGGAACTCATTAGTGCTCCTAGCGGCCCGGTGAGGTGGAGTGCGGAGGTCACTTGCTTTCCTGCTGTGATGTGGGAGCCGCCTCCGTGGCCCACGGTCTCTCTGCAGACCAGGTTCCTTTCCCGAAGCTACCCTGCAGTCTGATGTGCTGTGCTTCGGCCACCCCACTGCACCTCTGCACGCTGTCTAACTGCGTCTTTGTGTGTACTTCTTCGCTGGCTTACCCCATAGATGCCAGTGAGGGTCCCTGGGCTTCCCTCCTCCATGATCTTCTCACTTGACATCCTTTTCTCATGACTTCCCCTATACTGCAGTTAAGGATGGCAGGGGGACTGTGGGACTCTGTTGAAGAACTGGGACGACGCTAAGAGAACGGAAAGCTTTTAACTGCTCCCAGGGTGGGTGTGACCCAGTCGGAGACTCATTTTGAAAACCAGTCATAGCTGTGTGGGGTTGATGGAGATTCAAGAAGAGGCTGTAACGGTGGTCCCAGGGAAGGGTAGAGGATTCCGGGATCATCTGGAGGGAAATCCAGCAGGATTCGACATGGAGCACAAAGGAGGAGAGAGAACAAGGTGGGGTGGCTGTCACGCTTCTGGGGCTGGGAGAGATGAGGGTTTAGTGGGTGATGCTGAGTAGAGGCACCAACTGCTTCATCTGCTTCTGATTGGTCTTGGGTCCCCCAAGGTGGGAATGTCCAGCAAGGTAACTGGCCACAGACTCAGCCCTAAGGGAGTGGCTGGAAACAGAGGACTGGGCATGTCAAGTATCTGAGTGGGGGAAGCTCATTCCGGGAGTGTGGCCGGTGGCTCGGGTCAGAGCAGCCGGCAGACGGCAGACGGCTGAAATCATCCTTTGATTTCGGCAGGAAAGAGGTCAGTGTTGACATTGGTGAGATCAGTTCAGCATAGAGGAGGGACAGAGGTGATAAACAGGAGACTGGCTGTGGCTGGAAGGAGAGAGTACAGCAGAGGGGGGCAGGGGCCTCTGAGCTCCCCGAATCCAAAAATCTGGTTCTTCTTCCTCACAACTCAGGTCCAGGGAGTCGCCAGATCCTCAGGATTCCTAGGCACTTCTCAGTGCCTCCTTGCCATCCTCTCCATCCGCCTGACCCTGTGACACCAGGCTGGCCTCCCCCATGGTCCCTGCCTCCTTCATGTCATCCCACTCCAAGACTCCAAGTCCTTTCCCAGTTCCAGCCGTGGCACACGCAGCTTGCTGCCTGGATGGCCTTCCCTTCTCATCTGATCAATCTGTGCTCCTCCTCCAAGTGCCAGTTGGGGGCCGACTGCGGGCTCCATGCAGGCCTGCCCTGCGAGGCAGGTGGGGGCCAGGCAGCAGCCTCAGACCAGCCTCTTCCATCCCTCACCCCCAGGGTGAGCGACCACTGACCACCACTGAGGAGGTAGAGCTGAGGCCAGGCCACACTGTGCTGGCCCTGGGAGGCTGCTGCCGGGGCAGGAAGCCTGGAGCAGGTCATGTGGGAGGGGCTGCTCGAGAGACCCAGCAGGGCCGTGCCCTGGCCTGGTGCTTTTCCCCTCCCCACAACCCTGCAGGACTCGGGGCTGTGGGCCAGGTAACATCAGGTGAGGCCCCCTTTCTACCTCAGGACCACCTGCAGAGGCTCGGGCGTCACCTAGTCTTGGAGGGGCTTTTCAGGTACAGGCCTGGCCTTCCCTCAGACAGGAAGTCCACTTTCCTCTGCAGCTGCTCCCACCCACTCAGCAAGAGCCTGGCTCATGAGCGGTCCACCTTGCCTCTGTGTGGGGGGCGGTGGGGGAATATAGGTGTGAGCATCCAAGTGTGGTGTGTCTGCTGTACCTGTGGGCATCCATAGTGTAGCGTGTGTTGTGGGACGTGTGCATGCACGTGTTTGTGACTGGTTCTGTGTGGTGTGGTGCGTGTGCACTAAAGTGGTATTTGTGTGAGATGGTGTGCATGTGTGCGTGTGCGTGTGTGTGTGTGTGTGTAGACCCATGCTCACCATGGCTCTCTTCCCCCAGGCTGCCCTGGCATGTGGGACAATATAACCTGCTGGAAGCCAGCCCATGTAGGGGAGATGGTCCTCGTTAGCTGCCCCGAAGTCTTCCGGATCTTCAACCCCGACCAAGGTGGGTAGAGCCCAGTCTTTAGGCCACGCTGATCTAACCTGCTCCCTGAGCTCAGCCCAGGCTCCCAAAGACAAGCACTAAGGACTGGCTCCCTGTGAACAGATAGTCTTTGCTCCAGAGCACTTGTAGGGGTGCACAAGCCTTCCTTCAACATGGCACCCAGTCCCCAGGGACACCTGGGTGTGCACTGGTGTGGGGTTGATACCAGCTCCATCTCTCACCCTCCTAAGGACTAGAGCAAAACAGTTCACTCCTCCCAGTTAAGGCCCTGGTCTGCCAGGTGAGAATGTGGCATGGTGGCTCCCTCATGGGGTGTCTCTGAGGATAAAGTGAGGTCATGCATGTGGATCATCGTGTAGTGCAGGACTTGGCACGTCTTGAATGTTCAGTGGTCAGTGGTAACTGACGTTGTCATTGCTGTCACACAGTCACAGAGATTCTCAGAGGCCCAGGGGAATGCGTGGGCAGGGACCAGCAGTTAGACACCCTCAGGCAGAGCCGGAGTGTGAAGGGTGCAGTTGGGCTCATGACGCTCACCCACGTCCACACTCATGGACCACTTGATGTGGGCATGGTGCCCAGGCCTCACAGCAGGCAGGCAGGCAGGCAGGCACGTCTGCTAACAAAGCGTTTCCTTGGCCCTCACTGCCCTTAGGTAGTATGAGGGCTCAGGAGAAGAGAAGCTGGGGGTCCTGGCCTCCAGGAGCTCCTATCCACAGTGGAAACAGTGTAGTCTGTAACTTATGGACGCTGGTTCTAGGGTGAGTGTATGATGGCACCCTTCCTGCCAGGGAAGTGGGGGGGGGTCACAAGAACTCAATTTTGGGCATGTCTGAGTCTGAGATCTCTGGGGGCCTTTGAAATTCTGTGGAGAGTTCTGGGGGCCCCAGATTGATTTAGCAGCCTGTGGGATAGACATGGTGGCTGAGCTCTGTGATGCAGGACACAAAGATATGGGGCAGGGGCAAGACAAAGTCCAAATGGCTCTGGAGGCTGAGGCAGGAGGATCGCCAGTTCAAAGCCAGCCTCAGCAATTTAGCAAGGCTCTAAGCAACTTAGCTGGGGATGAAGCTCAGTAGTTGAGCGTTCAATCCCTGGTATCGAAAAAAAAAAAAAATATATATATATATATATATATATTAAACTCTAAATGGCTGCATATCCACTGGGGGGTTCCTATTATGAGAGGTAAAAGGCAAATTCACTTTCAAACCTCACGTTCCAGCAATATCGTAAAGCAAGGGATTTGCAGGAGGTGGCCAAGAGAGGTAGTGACCCATGTTGGAGCCCCATCTCTGGCTCCCATCCCAAGAAGGTGGGGCCTGTCTCCCACACATCCCACCTTGCTTTGTCCACATCCCTCACACCTCCAGACCTCTGCCAGCCCAGAAGGAGGGTGGCAACTGAACTCCCCACCCCCAAGGGCTTGGGGACTTTGAGTGAGTGACCCCCAAACAGGCTAGAGAGTGAATTCTGGCCAAGGAGACTGGCAGGGAAGTGCTGGAGCAAGGAGCACAGTGAATGGAGGGCTGTGAGGCACAGTGACAGCCTGTGATTCAGCCCCGTTCCTCATTCATTCCTCTAGAAACCAACTTAGTCACTTCCCCCATGAATGTATGGCTCTCATTCAGTCATTTATTTAAAGTTTACTGAACATCTTCTCTGGGTCAGATTCCATGCCAAGAATGCTTCTTGCCACAAAAGGCAAAGAGAATCTGCAGTCGAGTGAGATTTCCTGGAGATGCACATTCCTCCAGCTTCTCTCCCTCAGCAGCAGGCAGGCGGTGAGGTGACACCCCATTCCTAATGGTTCATTAAGGCGGGGACTCCGGCACCTCTGTTCACAGGCTTGGTTGGTGGGTTGGATGTCTCCTTTGCTTTCTCAGCTCTCAGGAAGCTCCAGGGGTAATGCAGCCGGGCAGGACCTTAGAGATGTTGGAGGTGTGGGAGCTCCACCCTCTCTCCTCCTCCCAGATGCCTCTGCGCATTTCTGTTCCGGAGGTGGAGGTAGAAGTCTCTCATGCCTGATGGTGCCCAGCGTGTAGTCCTGCTTTCTGCACCCCCTGCAGAACTCTCTCCGAAGTTTGAGGGTGGGGAGGAGGAGGAAGTGGTCAGTGAGAGCAGACCCCCCACTGCACACCCCTGCTTACCTCTGCATTTTCTCTCTTTCTCTCTCTCTCTCTCTTTCTGTTGCAGTCTGGGAGACGGAAACCATCGGTAAGAGGAACCTTGGTGAGGACAGACCGCTGTCCATCTGTCCATCTCTGTATGTAGCAGGAGCCTAGCCTCAGGAGATCCCAGGCTCTGACTGCCGGGATCAGCATGTGGTTGGGTGGAATGGCAGGCTCTTCAGGGACCAGGTTCTTCTCTCCTTCTCCCCCTCCCCACACCTCTGTTCCGCCACCCTGAAGGTGGGAGCAATGGAGGACACAGCCTTTGGCTTCCAGGCCATCAAGAGCTTGTTTGGAAAGACAAGACTCACCAATGCATAGGCATGTGCACATGCACACGCAGGCCTGACCTGTGAGTGAATCCGTACAGATGCTCATATCCCCAGTTGCTGAGAAGGTGGAATGTACGGGAAGCCAGAGAATAGAAGAGAGCTGATGATGCAGCATATGGGCAGAGCAGTGAGGTCATGGGAGGTTTCCTGGAGGAGGTGGCATGTCAGCTTGGAAACTGGATTTTTGAGAAATGGAGATGAAATGTGGGTCCATTGCTAGGCTAGCATGGGATTTGGGCATAGGAGAGCGTGGGAAGGGGAATAAAGAGTAAAGAGAGAAGGATAAAATTCTGGGCATGAAGTCTTTGAAGTTTTGGGTTCCCTTTGATGAAGAGTGGGTCTGGAGACCGAGATGAGCACCAAAGGAACCCCAAGTCCTAGACCCCTGTTGCTGTTCTTTGCTCGTTTCCATTCCTTCCCCTTCCTCTCTACTCAGCAGAAGGCCCTCCTGCCCTCCTGACAGTGCCTATTTCCTGTTTCCTGAGGGGTGGGGTGGGTGGTTGAGTCATGCATCATCCTTAGCATCCAAGAAATGCAAACCCAAGGAGATGGGTGTCAGAAGGTGCTGTGAGTCAGAAGGGTGTGCAGCCACTGTGTGTGAGGCTGTCTGGTGACCTTGTCCCCAGGCCCTCCAGACCCAGGCACATCAGGGAAAGGAAGCAGTGGTAATGCGTCAAGTTGATGAACCAGGCATTTTGACACATGCCCACATCTGTGTTTTACAGGAGAGTTTGATTTTGCTGGCAGTAACTCCTTGGGTCTCTCAGGTAAGGGACAGGCTGGGACCCACCATGGACTGGCTGACCGGAGGGCGTCTGCTGACATGGGAGCTTTGAGAGCCCCATTGCAGGCTGAGCTCTGCCCTCTGTGGCTTTGAGATCTGAGACTGGTTGGTCACTTTCGAGGTACAGGTACAGCTTGTCTCCATGGCAAACGGCAGTTAGGTGCAAAGGCAGAACATGGTTCCTACAATTTCATAGGAGCTGGAGATCTCTTGAAGCCCCTTTGTGGATTCTAAGCAAAGAACCCCTGTTTTAGACGGTTCCTGATAGTTTTGAACTCCGATACGTAGGGTAGAGGTTTTCAAACCAAATTTAAACTTGCACATCACAGTCCTCTCCTGGGCTTATTAAAACACAGATTCCAGGGCCTCACCCTCAGAGTCTTCTGATTGCCTCGGCCTCGGCCTCAGGATGAGCATGCGCATTGCTAGCTGGATACCCAGGTGTTCTATGGTCTAATGCGGGCAGGTGCTCATTCAGGAACCCTAAAATTCCCGGCTTCTATGAAACTGCTGGGGCAAAGCAGCCTGGCGATGTGGGCGCAGTCACTGCAGGATTCTGACAATCTGGAGAACGCTCTTCCGGAGATTTCTATCAGAACAATATTCAAGGAACAGTTCTGGAACAAAAAGGTTGATACTTTTCTGTGCCTACATTAGGCTATAAAAAGAAAAAAAAAAAGAAAGAAAAGAAAAGAGAGGAAATGGCTTTTCTCTCCAGGACAGTTTTATAAAAAAATTGTTTTTCAAAACAACTTCCCTTTCCTCTTCTCAGCACCTTGAGAAGGGCAGAGTCGGGAGGAGATGAAGCCCTGATGGGGGAGCGGCTTGGGCAAGGCGCTGCCTCCTCTGGGACAGTCAGACTTTCTGAAGAAGTGTTTAGAGGGACTTGGAAGGAGATTGCCAGAGATGGCCAGGGGCAGCCTGAGCAGATTTTCTGGAAGGAGGAGCAGCTTGGCACCACACTGTGGGATTGAAGTGAGCTCTTTGGCTTGGCCTGGGCCTGCCAGGTTTCTCCCCAGCCTGTCCACAGAACTCAGCACTGGAGAAATGATAGAGGTGACAGAGACCAGACTCTCCCTTCCCGCTGCTGGGCAGAACTCTTCCTTCCCTGCAGGCTCATGTCTCCAAGCCCCAAGAAAGATGTTTCTGACTCTCGTAGGTGAAGAGAACTGGCCTTCCATCTTCCAGCTCAACCAGCAAGGATGTGGGCTGGAAGAGGAGTCTCTCCTCTTGGCCTCTGCATCTGGCCATGGGTCTCCTTGAACCACTGCCCACCCACCTTGGCAGCCTGGGTCACAGAGGGGAAAATTCAATCCAGCCATCTGTGCCCCATGCCCCTTGTCACTGAGTCCTTTGAGGGGAAGAACCATCCCCATGTGTCCTAAGAGGCCAGGTAATTAACTCCCAAGAAGCCATTCTGAGGACTGACGTCTCTCCGGGGTCACATCGAGGTGTTCGCTGGAGGAAAGGGGACTGCTTACCTCCCCTGATCATTTGTGGCTGTCCCTTACAGACCATCTGGTGATGGGAGAGAGAAATGAACCAAGCAACCATGGGATGCTAAAACAGCCCCACGAATAATGAAAACCAGGCTGAATGCTTTTTTTTTTTTGTAGCTAGCAAATGGCTCAATGGCTGTGTCTTACCCTGGCCTCCCCTGGGTATCACACAAGATGGCCTTTTAAGGCCATCAGAAGAAAAACTAAAGTACATTAGTAACAGGAAATAGACCAGCAAACCCTGAAAGGCAAAACTTAACCAAAAACCAAACTGGAGTATATGTCTTAAAAAAGGTCCTAAGCTAGTTCAGTGTCCTTGTTAATTGAGCAAGGTGTCTCATTGGTGCAGAATGTCAGCTGCTAGGGTAAAGTTCACCTGTAGCGTGGGCTCAAGACACACCTCTGGTCACCTGAGGCAATTCCTGGACACACTCAGATGTCCTGCTGAGAATCCCTGGAGCTGCAGGGACTGGAGTCTGCATTTGTGATCCGTCTCAGGATGGTTCTTCTACACATGGGCCTTTGAGAAGCACTGATCCAGAGACTTGAGCATTTCCTGGCAGGTATTTGGGAATATTCCAGAAGGAGAGCTGCAGGGCTGCTGGACTCACAGGCTCAGTCCCCTTATCCCAGCCCTATAGTTCTTAGTAAAGACTGAGCTGCAGGCCATCAGCTGTCACTGACTCCTTGGACCTCATGTCTTCCAGCGGACACATGGGTTTCTGGTTCCTACTTAAGCAGTAATGTTTGCATCTGCATCTCGGGGCTCTCTGAAGTCATTCTGTGCCTCACTGAGTGTTCTCTTCTCTGCAGACATGGGTGTGGTGAGCCGGAACTGCACGGAGTATGGCTGGTCGGAGCCCTTCCCTCATTATTTCGATGCTTGTGGCTTTGACGACTATGACACTGAGACTGGGGACCAGGTGAGTGTCTGTGCCCTGTTCCCCAGAAGTGGTGGGACAGCGGAGAAGACAGGTCTCTAGATGACATTCATGAGCACCTACTGTGTATCCAAGCTAGCTGCTGTGGCGAGAAGCAGCTGTCATGCTGCCTTATCCTCCAGCCCCTACTTCCTGTCCCTTCTGGGGACACTGTCTTGCCTAGGATCCAGAACCTGAGGAGTTAATTCTGGGCCCCACATGGGGGCTCCCCCTCCTACCTCCCACATCTAACTCAAGGATGCTGTCTCTGCGGACTGGTTAGTGCTCTTCCTTTGAGCAGATGCTGGGGATGGAACCCAGGGCCTGGTGCATGCTGGGTAAGGGCTCCATCTCTGCACCACACCCCCAGCCACATCTGCAGAAGGGAACCCTGCAGAGTGGAACAAGCAGCTTAGCTGGGAGTAGGGGAGTGGAGGTAAGATCGCTAGGAGGAGACAGGGAGAAGCTAGGCCCAGAGGGTGCAGGTCTGGGGGTGGGGGTGGGAGGGCCTGCCCCACGTGGATCCCTGCATATCCTGTGTCCTGCTCTAGGATTATTACTACCTGTCGGTGAAGGCCCTCTACACTGTTGGCTACAGCACCTCCCTCGTCACGCTCACCACTGCCATGGTCATCCTGTGTCGCTTCCGGTGAGACTCCAGTGACACTGGAGCCCACACAACCTACCTCTGCTGAGAGTAGTGCCTCCCGTCCCCTCCTTGTGGATGTCAGCCCTCACCCCTGGAGTAGCAGATGGGAAACCTGACCCCACAGAGGGCAGCCGACTTGATCAGGGCCACACAGCCAGGCAGAAGCTGGGCAAGAGACCTGCATTGCTCACTTTCATCTTCCTAGTGTAGATAGAGAGGCCATAGGAGGGAGAAGGGGCACAGGTGACAGGGGCCTGGAAACCAGGATCAGAGAGGTGGGTAGAAGCAGGTAGACTCGGTGGCAGACCCCACTGAGACAATGGCCAGAGCAGGTCAAGGGCAGAGCCCAGGGTGGAGGGTGTGAGTGCTTTGGGGTTGCTTGCTTGGGGTCAAGTCCTCCTCCTCCTCCCCTGGCCCGCTCCTGCAGGAAGCTGCACTGCACCCGAAACTTCATCCACATGAACCTGTTTGTGTCCTTCATGCTGAGGGCGATTTCTGTCTTCATCAAAGACTGGATCCTCTATGCCGAGCAGGACAGCAACCACTGCTTCATCTCCACCGTGAGTGAGCCCAGAGGACCCGAGGCCACTGCTGCCAGGAAGTCCCCCACCCCGCACCACCGCCTGGGACTTGTTTCTCAGCCTGAGCCCCTCGAGTGTGTTCCTGGGATGAAGGCGTTGTCCCCATTCACATGGAAGCCCAGGAATCAACATGTCCCTAGGGTCACTTCTAGACAAATCCTCTTCAGTCCCTCAGAGTACTTGAGGAAGGTCCACCGACTCTGGAGGCCACGGAGGCTCCCAGAGGGCTGGTGTGGGCCCTGGTCACTTAACCAGCCGAGCCAGAGCCCACGTGCTGGGTGGCTCGGGGTCTTTCCATGTGCCTCCTCATGCCCCCGGTATTTGGAGGAGGCGCCAGGTGGGAAGAATGGTCTGGAGTCCAGCCCTTGACTGAGAGGGCTCACTTGAAGGTTTTCAGTGAGAAGGGATCTCTGGGGCCGGGGTGAGCATTCCCTCCATCTGGGAGGGAGCCAGGTCCCTGTTTCACCAGGAGCTCCCTGTGGGGGGACCTCTGGCTGCTTCTCCCTGCTCATCTTCCTTGTGGGAGCTGAAGAGGGGGTAGGTGGGCCTGGTGGGCTCCACACCTGTGTACCCGCCCCTCTCCTGCCAGCGCAGGCCTTTTGGACTGAGACCCGTAGGATGCTGCAGATCTCAGCGCCACAGTTCGGGAGTGTTGACTGTCCCGGATCCTGGGCGTGTTTGGGCCCCACCCAGCATGACTAGAGCTGAAGGTCCCCAGGACTCCCCTGGGCTTCAGGGGTTCGCCTGGGGTCAGGAGAGGGAGTACGAGACGTTCCTCGCCTGGTGGCTGTCCCTGTAGGTGGCATGCAAGGCTGTCATGGTTTTCTTCCACTACTGTGTGGTGTCCAACTACTTCTGGCTGTTCATCGAGGGCCTGTACCTCTTCACGCTGCTGGTGGAGACCTTCTTCCCCGAGAGGAGATACTTCTACTGGTACACCATCATTGGCTGGGGTAGGTCCCTGGCCGGGCCTGGACGCACTAGGGCCTCCCAGTCGCGTGTGACCTTGGTACTGCCCCAGGCAGACGCTGACTGCTCATTCTTGGACCCTGCCTTTCTCTTCCTGCCTGTGGGAAACTCCCTGTTTGAGGGAGA